AAACCATCTAACGTTGATACAAACTCATGTCTCGATAAAGCATTGATTAACATATCTGCTACAAGCATGGGGTACTGATCCTTTGGGATGCATATCCTGATCTTTCCATTCATTTTAATCACAAGATCAATGTTAGCTATCCACTCCACATATTTGGTGGGTTGTATGAATCCTGCCTCCAAGAGCTTGGCAATTTCTTCCATTATTTTCTGAATTAATTCTGGTGATAAGCGTATTGGATTCTAGACTATATGATTGTAACTAGGTTTGATAGGAAGCCTATGCTGGATGATAGAAGGATCTATACAAGGCATTTCGTGATGCTCGCATGCGAAAAAATTCTTTTATTTATGAAGTATGTCAATCAATAATTGTCCTTGTCGATTAATTCCTTATTTACATAAGTGAATCTAGGATAGTCATTCGTTCCAAGATTAACCTCTTCTAGAGGATCATGGACTTCCTGTTTGATATCTTAACTCTTAGCCCATACTTTTTAATTCTCTTCTCCACCATAAAACTCTTTGTCTAAGCTTAGTAATGATCGAGTATGGTCATCACAGTTTGAGTGGTCAGATAAACATTCAGGAGTCTCCATGTTTGTGTTAACCTCTATATTATGTTGCGAATAATAACTTGCATATAGATTTTGAAGAGCTAATAAAGTACAAGGTCTGAACTTGCTTTTCGTGTAATTATTCATAAAATTTGTTCAAACTACAAATTCACATAGAAAAGATACTAAACATATCCAATCTTCAGTACTCCAAATTTAGAACTAGACTCTACAGGTGAATTATGTTTATCTTCATCTGCATCTTCCTCTTCTATCATAGCGATTGCACTTGATACCACCCTCAGCTTAAGAACTAATTGGGAGTCAAGTTTGAGCACAATCTCATTTGTCTATGGTGTTAACTTCACAAGAACCCTAGGAAAATCTTGGTTAGTATCAATCATAAAAGCTTCTACATCAACACAAACTACCTCATATTCATCACCATTCCATAATATTATTTTCTTATGCAAATATGAAGGGATAGCAAACATTTGATGCAACCATTCTCTACCTAGGATATCATTATAAGATGCTTCTCCTTTTATTATAAAAATGCTAAAATAGTCTTAGTGGTACCTACTTGGATTTCAATACATGCCTTAACACTAGCCAAATCTTTCTTGCTTTTACGAATTTTATGTAAAACAGGCAAAGGCATTAGATTTATAGCGGCCCCAATATCGACTAATACTTTTCCTAGTCACAAAAAGAGGTTTATTATGTGCATTATTAACATTATCATATCTTAACAAATGTCGGATGACTAACTGCTCCTGATCATGTATTATTGTTTATCTACTAAGTGAACTAGATGATGCTTTATTCAATTCAGCAGATATAGTAGAGAGTTTATACTTACCTTCTGATGAGTGGCATTTATGCCACTATTTTACCCCTCTTTAGAGAGGGCGCACAACAATCTCAGTAGTCGCGGGTGCGAAGGAGAAAGTCGCGGGTGCGGAGTTCAACTTTAGAAAAATATCAAGCAACCAATAGATGGTTGGCTGCACCCAGAGAAAGGGATCTTCGCTAGTCACCGCGGGCGCGGCGGCCTTTCCTTTGTCAAGAGAGGCCTCTCCTTCAGCCACCGCGGGCGCGGTCTTCGAGGTTTCAATTTCGTACCCAGACGAAAGCGGGCGCGATGTGGTCGAGGGATGGCGCGGCGTAGTTCGTTATTTCAGGAATTCTTAATCACTATAAATAGCTTTCTTCTTGAATTTTTGGATCATCTAGTTTTCCAAGTATTATTAGAATATTGTAGTGAGAGAAACATTTTAGATTTTAGAGAGAGAAAGTTGCTTAATCTTCAAGTTTCTTCATTGTATTCAAGATTTCTTCAAGTTTCCTTCAATCTATTGCAAGTATTTTCATGTTTTCTCCATTAATCAAGCTTCATATTAGTAATCTTTTATCTTTTTCCTTTTATTTTGCTTGATTGCTTTAGACTATGTTGATTTTCATCTTTTTTCTTGATTTTACTTGTTTGATTGATTTTGTTTGATTTAGAATCATGTTTTGTTTGGTTAAGATTGAATTCATGCTTAGTGTAGTTTTGATGGCTATTTTCTCTTCTCTAGCTTAGATTTCTAGCTAGGGAAGGGGGTGAAGATCATGATTGGTTTGGATAATGAAGATGATTGATTGTATATTGCTTTGAGTTGATGATTTTGTGCTTAAATTGCTTGGAATTATTGTTGTGCACCTTTAATTCCATTGTTTGATTTCTAAATTAGATGCATAGGAATGATCTAGTTTAGGTGTTGATCTATTTCGTCAATTTGCTTGAACAATTGCATGGAAATGAGTTGTTTGGGTAGAATTAATGTTCCTTGAAATTTATTTATGTTAATCAGCATTCCTTCCGTAGTTGATCATGATTAGAAACCCCTCTCCCTAGTGATTTGATCATATTTTCCTAATCTATTATTTCTACTTCATTTTAGTTCATTTAAATTGATTTCATTTCATTTAGTGGCTTTCATTAATTGTAGTAGTTTTAATCCCTGATTGAAAACAATAAAAACACAAAAACTTCCTTTTCCCTTTGCAATAGATTCGTGATTTCGCTATAATTGTGCAATTCCCCCATTTCCTTAGTGGTTCGTGAAAGAAATGGTGTCCTTCCAACAAGTGTATTATTCCGATAGAGGGTTCAGAATTATCGGACAACTAATTCTTCAGTAAGGTCAAGTGAATGTCTAGGTGGAGGCTACTTCCAATCAGTAATATTAATGTACAATTAATATTACAGCTTAATCTTAACTGAACCCTTCAAGTCGAACCCAATCGAACAACCGATCCGAGACGACAAATCAATCCGAAGGATTTGATGAGTCGTCGAAGTTTTATGTAAAAAGACGTCGGATATTGAGCTTAGAGCGTCGAGATCGAACGTCGCAAGTCAAGTCGAATTTAGAATCCGACGAGACGTGAAATCAATCAAGTTACAAGTACGAGCCTGGCCGTAGCCTCGCATCGGCCTAGACATGTGAGTGCTAAGCTAGGCAAGACCCATTGCAAGCCTAGCATGCTAGGTGTGCTAGGCCCTAGCGGGTGTGCTAGCAGGCCATGCGCCCAAGCATTGCAAGGCTAGGCCTTGCTAGCATGCTAGGCGTTGGCGCAAGGCAAGGCCTAGCACTGCTCCCAGTAGCATTCTTGTGCGTGTGTGCGTACATCGCTAGCACAGCACCATCGCAGCAGCATGCTTGTGCGTGTGTGCGTACATCGCTAGCACAGCACCATCACAGCAGCATGCGTGTGCTTGTATGCGTGCATCGCTAGCACAGCACCATCGCAGCAGCATGCGTGTGCATGTGTACGTGCATCGCTAGCACAGCACTAGGCAGCAGCAATGATGCGTGTGCGTGTGGCTAGCATTGCAGCGCCCAGCACTACGCACCTAGCTGCAGCGCCCAGCATGCGTAGCTCGCCGGCTGTGCGTAGAGTGCTTGCTAGCTGGCTGCGTGTGGCGTGCTAGCTGTGCTGGCTGGCTGCCCAGCCTTGGTGCTAGGCGCCAGCTGGTAGCTTTGGCAACCAAGGCAGGCTGCCAGCCAGCCACATGGAGGATGCCAGTTTTGTCTTAGTGGGGACCAAAGGGTTTTGGGCATTACCTTGGGCACCAGGGCCATGGTCCCCCCCTTGGAAATGGTCCTCACCTAATCTCTCTTCCTCCCTATGCCACTTGTAACTTATTGGTTGCTTTGCAATTTTAATTTTGTTTTAATTAAAATGAAATGGGAAAATTGCAAATCTCCCACATTGATCAAGAGTGGGAATTCAAGGTTCATTTCCCTATAAATACCAAGGTTTTGGGATTTAGGAAGAACACTTGAGTGGAAATAAGAAGGCATCTCCTTAAGAAAAGTGAGAAAACCTTAAGTTCGTACAACTCTATATTTTATTGGTCGGGTCCCAACTAACCTTCGGGACTTGGATCGTTCGGGTAAGGTTCGTGGGTACGAGCCGTCGGAGACCTTGCATTTGCGGGATTCAAGTAAGAGCTCAAGATTCGAGCGAAGCACGCGACAAGGGTAAGAATGTCTTTTCTTTCTCTCTCCTATTTGTTGTTTAATTAGTGATTGCATGCTTAGTTGCTCACACTATGTGCGGGTCTTGGGTGGGTTTACCTTCCGCGTAGAGTCGGACTCTACGAAACCCAACAGTTCGACCCTTTTCTTATCACTATCTCGGTAGTATAAATGTACGAATATAAATTGTTTTATTTGATTTAGGGTAGTAGATAATGGCGTATTATCCGACCATCAAATTTTTAGCACCGTTGCCGGGGAAATAGCTAGTTTTGCACTTATTGTGATATTATTGGAATTAGTTGCTTTACTTTTGTTCATTTACTCTCTTGCTAGTCATTGCTAATTGTTTTTTTAGCTTAGGAGAATGCAAAGGATGTCTCAAGGATAACCTACACATTACATTGATCACGAAATCGACTGTACATTAAGACAAGTGCGAAGACTATATCGAGAAGAGTCCTAGGGTCTTGGTGGTATTGTTGAGAGTGAGAGTGATTCTTGGTCTTCAAGTTCTCAAAGGGAGGTAATGGTAGGACAAGTAGAGAACATTTTGTTTCGTGAGTTTGGAAACCCGGAGGACTATGATCTCACAAGTGGGATCTTGTTACCTGTCACGGAAATCGATTTCACAATCCATCCCCAATATATAAGGATGGTAAAAGCGGAGAAATTCTCGGGTTCTCCAAGTGAAGATCCAATAGAGCACCTTGATAGATTTCTTGAGCTTTTTTCCATGATTCAAACAAATCAAGTTTCACAAGAGTACATCCATATGCACTTATTTTGACAATCCCTCTAAGCTAGGGCCAAGAAATGGCTTAAGCAAGTTAAGCCAAATTCTCTCAAGAACATGGAGGGAGATAGTCAAGGAATTCTTGAAGAGGTTCATCTCCAAAAAGAAAATCACCGAAATGAGGAGGAAGATTGCATCATTTGAACAAGAAGCGGATGAGAGCCTTAGTGAATCTTGGGAAAGGTTCAAAGAGTTTGTACAAGCATGTCCTCACCATGAGTACAATCAAAGCTTGTTCATGCGATTCTTCTATGATGGTTTTAAACCTATATCTAGAGCTAACTTGGATGCGGGGGCGGGTGGACAATTGATCAAGATACCTCGAATTAAGTAGAAGCAACAATCGAAGAGGTATCTAAGAACTACTCTTGGGGTGGTAGAAGGAGGAACACAACCAAAAAAGGTGGGATGTATGAATAGGAGAAGGTTGACCAATAACAACATCAAATTGAGCTTTTGAAAAAAAGGCTTTCCAAGTTGAACACGAGTGGTATTGGTGGGACAAGCTCCTCACAAGTCAAAGCTTTCTCTTGTCAAAATTGTGGTGCTACAAACCGTGATACATCTTATTGTGGAGGGTTGAGCCCTGAGCATGTGGCGGCTTATAATTCGAGGCAAGATGGTTTTAGGTGAAATGGAGGTTGAGTATCTTGGAGACAACCACCTCCCGGTTTTGCACCTCAACTCCAACAATGGAACCAACAAACCCAACCACCTTAAAACTCCAACCCTCAATACCTAAGCCCACCTCCACCTCAAAACCAAAACCCAAGAGGAAACTACCCTAGAAACAACCAATACAACAACCAAAACTAATACAACAATTAAAACCAAGTTTTTCAAAGGAATCAAGATCAAGAATCTCAACCCGATAAGACACAAACCCAAATACTTCAACAACTCCAAGCTATGAACCAACAAATGCAAGAGGTCAAGGCCCATAACAAGATGGTTGACTCCTAATTAGCCTAATTGGTCAAAAGAGCATCCTTCAATTCATCTTCTACTCTACCCAGACAACCACAACCTAACCCATCCCGCAACATAAAACCCGACTCTTGCAAGGCAATCACATTGAGGTCGGGAACATCATATGAAGGTTCAAAAGAGAAGGTTAGTGAGGAAAAGAAGGGAGGAGAAGAGGGTGTGAGTGAGGATAAGAGAGTTGAGGAAGAAAAAGTTGTTGAGAAAGAAGAGAGTGTTAAGAAGAGGAAGCTTAAGGAAGAGAAGACAACTTCAATTCCTAGTGAAGCTAGGAATCTTGACGGGCCACTCCCATTTCTCGGTCAGCTTGCGGAGAGGGAATTAAATGAAAAGTTTGCAAAATTCCTTAGTGTGATTAAGAATTTGCACATCAACCTCCCTTTCATTAAAGTTGTCACACAAATGCCATCCTACTCAAAATTCCTCAAGGACATTCTCACTAACAAGAGGAAGCTCAATGATGAGCTCATCACTCTTCCCCATCAAGTGAGTGCACTTGTTGAACATAAGATGCCTAAGAAGAAAAAAGATCCGGGAAGTTTCACCTTGCCCGTCAAAATTGGAAACATGGAAGCTAAGGGTGCCTTAGACGATCTTAGAGCAAGTTTTAGTTTAATCCCTCTTTCCATTGCTAAAAAACTGAACATAGAGATGATCCCTACAAGGAAAACCATTCAATTGGCCAACTGTTCGGTGAAACTACCTTATGGTGAGCTTGAGGATGTTCCTATTCAAGAAAGGCACATCTATGTGCCTAGTGAATTTGTAGTGATGAATATAGAGAAAGATGTAGACACTCCTTTAAACTTGGGTCGCAAAGCTCTTAAAACCTTAGGGGCAGTCATTAGTTGCAAAAACAACACCATAACATGTGAAGTGGCCGATGAGAAGATTGTATTTGAGTTTTCTAAGTTGCTCAAGACCCCCATGATTGAGAAGTGTTATAGAGTGGATATTGTGAATGAAGAATTGGATCACTTAGGAAGAGTCATGATGAAGCCCCAAGATTCTATGGTTGAAGCTCTTACATGCAAGGAAGAGTACCACTCACAAAAGGCTAAAGTGTTAGTCATGACAATGGAAGAAGCTTCCAAAGAGGAAGAGGTTGAACAACAACAAGAAGATGTGCTTAATTAAAAGGAGGAGAAATTAGAGGAGAGTTCCAAGCCTCCTCCCAAGGTAGAGTTAAAACCCCTTCCCCCCTCTTTAAATTATGCTTATCTTGGTAATGAAGGGGAACACCCTGTTCTTATCAATGCTACCCTTGATGGACATGATTTAATTTGGAAAAATTGCTTGTTGTGTTGAGAAAATATAGAGATGTGATAGGGTATAGTATTGATGATATAAAGGGTATTAGCCCCTCTTTGTGCATGCATCGAATCCATCTTGAAGATGATCAATCCACCTCAATTGAACCTCAAAGGAGGTTGAACCCCAACCCCCAAGAGGTTGTCAAGGAAGAAATTTTGAAATTGCGTGAAGCGAGCATCATTTATGCTATCTCCGATAGCAAGTGGGTTATCCCGGTTCACGTGGTTCCAAAGAAAGGTGGAATGACCATCATCAAGGGAGAAGGAGGAGAGGACATCTCCACCCGGACGGTGACTGGGTGGAGAATGTGCATCGACTATAGGAAATTGAATAAAAACACAAAGAAAAATAATTTTCCTCTCCCCTTCATGGAACAAATGTTGGAAAGACTTTTTCACTACGCTTTCTTTTGCTTTTTGGATGGGTATTCCGGATTCTTTCAAATTCCTATCCACCACAAAGACCAAGAGAAAACGACATTTACATGTCCATATTGGACATTCGCATATCGAAGGATGCCCTTCGGGTTATGCAATGCCCCGTCAATATTTCAAATATGCAAGACCTCTATCTTTTCCGAGATGCTTGAGAATTTAATTGAGGATTTTATGGATGATTTTAGTGTTGGTGTCTCGTCTTTTGACACTTGTCTTTTCAATCTTGAAAGAGACTTGAAAAGGTGTTAAGAGACAAGTTTGGTTTTGAATTGGGAAAAGTGTCATTTTATGGTCGAGGAGGGCATTGTCCTAGGCCATAAGGTGTCTAAGAATGGCATTGAAGTAGATCCGGCCAAAGTTTCGGTGATTGCTAAGTTTCCCCCTCTTACTTCCATCACGGGAATAAGAGCTTTCCTTGGGCATGTCGGTTTTTACCGGAGATTTACTAAAGATTTTTCACCAATCGCCAAACCTTTGACCGAATGGCTTAAGAAAGATGTTGAGTTTTGCTTTAATGATACTTGCCTTGAAGCATTTCATAATCTCAAGGAAGCTCTTATCTCCTCTCCCATTGTGCAAGCTCCAGATTAGGGCTTGCCCTTTGAACTAATGTGCGCTGCGAATGATTTTGCAGTAGGTGCGATCCTTGAACAAAGAAAAGCTGGAAAATCCTATGCCATCTACTATGCAAGTAGAAATCTTGATGAAACTCAAAAGAATTACACAACAACAGAGAAGGAGATGCTTGCGGTTGTGTTTGCTGTGGGAAAGTTTAGGTCCTATCTTGTTTGCTCTAAGGTCATTGTGTACACGGATCATGTAGCGGTTCGTTATCTCATGAACAAGAAGTATGCAAAGCCACGCCTCATCCGTTGGGTTCTTTTGCTTCGAGATTTTGATATGAAGATGAGGGATAAGAAAGGAGAGGAAAACTATATGGAGGATCACTTGTCTAGGCTCGCTTTTGAGAACAAGGATGATGCACCCATCAATGAGGAGATGGGAATTGAGACTCTTATGGCTATTGCTTCAACATATAGCCCTTGGTATGTGGACTTTGACAACTATCTTGCATATGGAGTCATTCCCCGGGAATTTTCCTCTAAAAAAAAAAAGAGATTCTTCAAGGAAGTGATGAGGTACTTTTGGAATGATCCTTACTTGTTCAAACAATGTGGAGATGGTCTTTTCTGGAAATGGGTTTCGGATCATGAAATTGAAGGAGTTCTTGAGAATTGCCACTCATACCATGTGGCGAACATGGTGGAGTGACAAGACAGTGGCAAGTTTCTCTCAATCTCTCTTATGGTGGTCAACAATGCATAAAGATGCTCACAAGTTCATTTCTAGATGTGATAGGTGCCAAATAAGTGGTGGAATCACCAAGAGGGATGAAATGCCTCAACAAAACATCTTGGAAGTTGAGGCTTTTGATGAATGGGGTGTGGATTTTATGGTGCCTTTTGTTTCTTCGTATGGGAATCTGTATATTTTGGTGGCGGTTGATTATGTCACTAAGTGGATTGAAGTTATTGATAAGTGTCATTCATGACACATTTCAGGGCATTTTTCTCCCTTACTTTTAGGTCTATTTTGGTGTTTCTTTGTTATTTCTAGTAATTTTAGTCTTTTTTTAGTTATCTTTGTCTTATTTTATGGTTTTAGGCCTTAGTTGTGATTAATATGCTTTTTGCTCAGTTTTTAGCTTGATTTACGTGTTTTCCTATGTGCTCTTTCACTCTTTTCTCTCTCGATCTATTTTTGTAGGTTCTTGGCGCTTTCTTCGATGCTTATGACTCGAGAGAAGGCAAGGAAGTTTAATAGAAGAAGCTTGAAGCTAAGAAAGAAGCTAAGAAGCTTGAGGCAAGAAAGCTTGAAGCTCGTAGAAGGCCTTAAACCGAGTCTTGTTCACTCTTTTAACCATAACTTTTAATCTACACATTGTATTAAGGCGATTCAAATTGCGTTGGAAAGTAGACTTGAAGAGCTTTCCAACGATATCCTTAAGAGGCCTCCTAGAATAGAAGTTATGGTCGTTTGAATCTACAAGTCACTGTCAGGCTGCGCAGCCGCTGCGGGCGCGGCCCTCTTTTCTTCCCAGCCTTTGCAAAATCTGGAGATGCCTTCCAGAAGGCTCAAAGAGGCCTCTCCAGGCCAGGCCGCGAGCGCGGCAAAGAAGGGAGAACGCACGGCGAAGAAGGTCTAAAAATCCGGATTTCCTTCTTTCTCTTCTTGTAATATAAATAGAGGATTTCTTAGACTTCCTTAACAAAAAAAAAATTACATTTTTCTCTCTCCTCTAATTAGGATTAGGTTTAGATTAGGATTTTCTCACTCTAGTCTAGGAGTAGTTTTACAGAGAGAAAGTTTGGGTTTTGCTTTATTACCTCCATTGTTGAACTTCAAGTTATTTCAATCCACATTTTCAATTAGTAATCTCTTTCCCCCATATCTCTTATTTTGTTTATTGCTTTCTATTTTGATTATTATCTCAGTTTAAGGTTAGTTTTGTTGCTTTGTTTTGTTCATCCTTGTTTATGAAAGATGTTTAGATTTGTAGTTTTAGTTGTTTATTCTAGCTTTGTTTCAATGGGTTCTATTCCTTCTCTAGGCTAGATTTCTAGCTAGGGGAAGGGGGTGAAGAGCATGGATTAATTTTGACTAGATGATGATGGATGATTAATTACTATGTCTCGATTGATGATTTGTGCTATTAATTGCTTGGGATTGTTGAGTGCACCTTTATATTCTCTTTTTGATTTGTTGCCTATTTTGAATGCATGGGAGTAATTTAATTTAGGTATTAGATCTAGATTATCGATTTTCTTGAACAAGTGCATGAGAATGAATTTTTTAGGTGGAATTTTATATTCCTTGGCAAGTTAACCTTGATTTCCATCATTATTTTGATATGTCAACCAAGTTTGGAACCCCCATACCCCCTAGCGTTTGTTTTTATTGCGTGAATTCCTTGTTAATAGTGTTTATTAGTTATTTTTAGTGTTTAATCCTCAAAAAAATCTCGAAAATACACCCCTTGGCTCTTGTATTCATGAATTCTATGATTGATTTGCTTCGCTTCCCCGTGGAAATATGACCCTTACTTCCCACTATATTCACTTATTTTGGTAGTTAGGATTAATTTGATAAGAGGACTTTTAACGACGATTTCTACGCCTATCAAATTTTGGCGCCGTTGCCGGGGAAGCGGCTTGTTTATCATTTGTTTTGTGTTTTCTAGAGTCATCTTTAATTGCTTTCTTTTTTGTTTTTTTTTCCTCCTATTTGTCATTTCTAATAGAGTGCTTAGCTTTGTTGTGTTCAAAGAAAGATATGGCAAGGCAAGAGGATGACTTTCTTTTTCGGGAGTTTGGAATTCCGGAAAACTATGAGCTCACAAGTGGTATACTTCTTCCAACCACCGAGACTAATTTCACAATCCAACCTCAATATGTTAAATTTTCTGAAGGTGCAAGCGAGGGCCCCATTGAGCATTTGGACCAATTCCTCAAGTTGTGTGCAATGATACAAACAAATGAACTGAGCCAAGAATACATTCGTTTGCATCTCTTTCGGTAATCTCTCACCGAAGGAGAAAAGAAATGGCTCAAGAATTTTAAGCCTAACTCTCTCACTAAATGGAAAGAAGTTGCAAGTGCCTTTCTCAAGAGGTTCATTTCCGATGAGCAAACTGCAAAGATGAGGAAAAAGATAGCTTCCTTTGAGCAAAATCCGGATGAAACTCTTAGAGAAGCATGGGAAAGGTTTAAGGATTTGATTGGAGCATGCCCTCATCATGAATTCAACCACAATTTGCTCATGAGAATCTTCTATGATGGCTTGGAGCCAATGTCATAGGCCAATCTAGATGCGGGCGCCGGTGGTCAATTGATTAAGATCCCTCAAAGCCAAGTTGAAGCTACAATTGAAGAAGTGGCTAGTAGCTATTCTTGGGGTGGTCAAAGAAGGTCCCAAGGGAAGAAAGGAGACCTTTATGAGTTTGAGAAAGTCGGCCAACTTCAACACTTAGTTGAGCTCTTAAATGAGGGTTTTTCCAAGTTAAACTCAAGTGTTAGTTTGGGTTCAAAACCTTCTCAACTTCAACAACCTCAATGGCAAGAAAACTCCTATCCCCAAAATGAACCTCTCTTCAATTCACCAACCAAAAATTGTTCCTACCCTTCCAACCAAATTGGGAACATTCAAAATCAACACCATGACCAATATCCTCAAAAGTATCAAGAACAATCCCCACGTGACCACACACAAACCTAAATCCATCAACAACTTCAAATTATCACTCAACAAATCCAAGAGATCAAATCTTTCAATGAATTTGTTGATTCCCAATTAGCTCAACCAGCAGAAATTTCTTATCTTCTCTCA